AGTCTCCTCTCTTAAAAGGAATTTTAGAAGTCTGTAGGCCCTGCAGGGGTCTGAGGATCCATGGTGGCTGTTGGGTGTCATTTTTCCATCTCATGACTCAGCAGGAGTTTCTCCAATAAAGAAATAAAGCTTTTGCCTGAATCTCCCACTCTGCACGTGACAGGAGTGTGTGTGAGAGTGTGTGTGACATCCCAGCTCTTTGGCAGCCTGGGGACTCCTGGGATGTCACTGTGGAGCCCCTGTGAGTGCCTGTGACAGATCAGTGCCTTTGCAGCCCAAGGTGCCCTGGGATGTCACCATGGATTGACTGTGACTGCCTCTGACCACACGGCTCTTTGCCATCCCCAGAAACCCTTGGGAGGGCTCCATGGAGCCCCTGTCTCTGTGTGTGACATTCCAGCTCTTAAAAACAGCCTGGAGACTCTTGGAAAGTCCCCATGGAACCCCTCTGAGGGCCTATGACAAATCTCACCCTTAGAAGGCAACCATCACCAGGAAACCCTGTTGCTATGGTCAGTTTCCATGGCAACCATCCCCAGCCCCTGTTGCTATGGTCAGTTTCCATGGCAACCATCCCCAGGCCCTGTTGCTATGGTCAGTCCCTGGGCAGCTCCATGGAGACCCCATGCCAGGGGTGGTTGCCATGGACACCAGCTCAGGCCTGGAGCCCATTGCCATGGAAACCATTGGCACTCCCATCCCCAGGGTCATGGGATCCCAGAACCACAGAATTGGCTGAGCTGGGAGGGACCCATCAGGATCCTCGAGTCCAACTGCTGGCCCTGCACAGGACACCCCAACACTGCCAGCCTGGGCCTGGCAGTGCTGTCCAAACGCTGCTGGAGCTCAGAGAGACCTGGAGCTGGGACCCTTCCCTGGGAAGCCTGGGCAGTGCCCCAGCAGCCTCTGGGCAAAAACCTTTTCCTGAGATCCAACCTAAGCCTGCCCTGACTCAGCTGCAGCCGCTCCCTCCACTCCTGTCCCTGGGCACCAGAGTGAAGAGGTTCCCTCAGCCCCAGCCAGGGACCCGCTCCCAAGGCTGCTGCTATGGCCACCAGGGCTGGCACCAGCTGGGATGCTCAGTTTCCACAGGCCAGGGTTCAGAAATGGGATTCCTCAAATTCCTACTCCTGCTAAAACCCCGCTGGCACTCATTGCCCTCCCATCTTCCGTTGAAGGAAAAGAGGGAAAGATCCCTAGCTGGGATAAGAACAATTTACTGGGAACAGCAACAAAATAAGGAACAAACAGAAACAGAAAAAATATTGACAAAAGAAGGGATAAGAAAAACTATTTACAGGGAAAACTACATCACCATCAATTATATCTTCCTGGCCACATGTTTCCTCCTGCATGGAAAGGACACCCGTCTCCTCAGGGAAAGAGAGAGAGAGTCCCTTTCCTGCCCCTGGCGATGACCTGAGGCAGGAGTGAATGTAGTGACAGGGCCATGGCCAGACCCTCATGTCCTTCAATCCAATATCAGGCCATTGGTAGGGGCAGGAAAAGGGACAGGTGTCTTCCCAGCATGGATCACAGGGAACATGGATCACCAGGGCTCTTCCCAACATGGTCTTCCAATGGGGGATGAAGCTGGAGCAGTGCGCAAAGCTCTTCCTGCAGCTGGGAAACTTTCAGGATTTCCCTTACTGGTGGCTCTGTTGGTGTTTGGTCAAGTCAGAGCTCCAGGTGAAGCTCTTCCCACACTGGGGACACAAGTAGGGCCTCTCCCCAGTGTGGATGTGTTGGTGGCTGACAAGATTGGACTTTTGCTTGAAGCCCTTGCCGCAGTCGGGGCAGAGGAAATGCCTCTCCTCGAAGTGAATCCGCTCATGCCGGAGGAGATCTGAGCTGCTGTTAAACCCCTTCCCACAGGTGGGGCACATGTAGGGCCTCTCCCCGGTGTGGATGCGCTGGTGTGTGACGAGGGTGGAGTTGTGCTTGAAGCCCTTCCTGCAGTCAGGGCAGCGGAAAGGCCTCTCATCCGTGTGAATCCGCTGGTGTCTGAGGAGACCAGAGCCGGTGTGAAACCTCTTCTGACACTCAGGACACTTGTAGGGCCTCTCCCCAGTGTGGATGCGTTGGTGGATGATGAGGTCGGAGCTCCATCTGAAGCCCTTCCCACATTCCCCACACTCGTAGGGCCATTCCCCGGTGTGGATGTGTTGGTGGCTGACAAGGTGAGAGTTGGAGCTGAATCCCTTCCCACACTCCCCACACTTGTAGGGCCTCTCCCCAGTGTGGATGTGTAAGTGGCTGACAAGGTGGGAGTTGCAGGCGAAGCCCTTCCCACACTCCCCACACTCGTAGGGCCATTCCCGAGTGTGGATCATCAGGTGTTGTTTCAGATTGTTGCTCCGCCTGAAGCTCTTCCCACACTCCAAGCACTTGTAGGGCTTCTCCCCATCAGAAGGCTGCTCAGGGACCACCAGCTCCGAGCTCTGGCTGAAGCTCTGCCCACCTTCCTGGCCCAGAGTGGGTCTTTCCTCCTCAGAGCATCCTGGGCTGGGCTTGCAGCCCCTCCTCCTGTGAGATCTCCAGGGCTTTTCCTCCCTGTTGGATTCCTGCACTGTGGAGTTGCTCAAAACGGCCTCTTCCATGAGGTTCTGGTGCAGGGATTTGTCCTTCCTGGTCTCCATCCTTAGCTCCTGATCTGGGGGAGGAAGGACAAGGAGTAGGTGGGATTTGCCTCTGTGCCACAGGGAAGGGCAAGGAGATCCCCCCAGTGCATCCCCAGCAGGAGGGCACCGGCATGGGGGTCAGAAGTTCTAAGATGGAGTGTGAGAACCCCAGCCTTGCTTTGGGGCCTCATGTGGTGGTGAAATTCCTCCTCCAACCCATGCTTCCAAAGAAAAACTCCGCAGGCTTAGCTGTTCGGTCTCAAGGCAGTTTATTGCTAGTTATCTAACAGATTATCTTCTTGGACTGCGGCTATTTGATCAGCGGCCTGGGTAGAGGCACACACACACACTGACATCCTCTCTATCTGCTGTCTTCTTCGTCTCCCTCTCCGCCCAGGGCTGCTGCTCTCTTTTATAAGATATATTACGTATAACATGTTTACAATTATTCCCCAATACCTACTACCTACGTTGCCAAGTGTTTTTCTACTCTAAACCAATCTGTGAGTGCCAACATCACCAAGAACATGAAGGTAAGGAAAAAGAAGGAGGAAGAACAGGATCAGCCCACTTTCCTCCATCTTAGAACTTCTGACCCCCATGTACAAAGTGAAAACCCCCCTGTACATGTGTTAAAACCCCCCTGTACAATACTAAAAAAATTTCCCCTCTACTTTGTAGTAGGTTAGATAGTATAGGTTAGATAGTATAGTAAGGTTAGATAGTATAGTAAAAGTAGTTCTTTTACTATGCTATCTAACCTTTTGTGATTGCTTGTTCCACCTCCAAAGTTGGCAATTCATTCCATGGCTCAAACTCAAAATCACAGTTGTTTTTCAGTTGTCTGCCAGGGTCTAGAATGCTTCTGACCAAGGCCTGGAACCTCTAAAAATGCCTGAGAGACATTTTGAGTTCCCACAATGGAGGAAAGTGGGCTGATCCTGTTCTTCCTCCTTCTTCTTCCTTACCTCCATGTTCTTGGTGATGTTTGCACTCACAGATTGGTTTAGAGTAGAATAGGACTTGGTAATATATGTAGTAGGTATTGGGGAATAACTGTAAATATGTTATACGCAATATATCTCATAAAAGATAGCAGCAGCTCTGGGCTGGTAGAGAGAAGAAGACACCAGACAGTCAGGGTGTCAGGAGTGTGTGCATCTCTGCCTGGGCCGCTGACCAAAGGGCCGCAAACAGAGAACCTAATCTGTTAGATAACTAGCAATAAATCATCTTGAGACTGAACAAGAAGAGGGTGCGGAGTTTTTCTTTGGACGCACGGGTTGGAGGAGAAGCTTTACTACCACACGAGACCCCAAACCAAACCCGGGGTTCTCACATCTGGCGTCCCTGTGCGGGCATCAGCAAGAAGAACAAAAAGAAACATCAAGTAACCTCACACCTTCATCAGCGTAGAAGAAAAAGAAAAAAAAAAAGAAGAGCAGAGCACACACACTCGCCGCGTATTCCAAGAAGAGAGGGAGCGGACACCTCGAGATAAGAACCTGACCTTCACTGAAACAACTCGTCTCAGGGACTTTCCAGGGAGGAGACGACCCAGAAGTGTGCCTGGGATCTCTCACCTGTGACCTGCTGGACGGTGATCAGTGCCATCTCCGGACTGACCTCGAGCCAACACAGCTTTTGGTGAGAACGTTCAAAATTAAGAACATGGGGGGGGAATTCTCCCAAGAGGAAAAAGAAATAGTATCTGCCTTCCAGGGCATCATCTCTGCCCATCTGGTGGAGATTGCTCAAAAGGAGCTGAAAGATTTATTATTGTGGGTGAGGTGTAACTTCCCACACTCAAATCCAGATTTATTGTTTGAGCCAAATTTTTGGCAGGAAATTAATAAGCAATTATATTATCAGGCTATAAGAAATAATAAGCTTGCAGCAAAACTTTTATCTTCAGCAAGAACAGTTTTAGAGTCACTCTCACAACGCGGCAGCTCAAGCCAGGCAGCTACGGCTCCTGGTGACAAACGGGGGGGGGACAGTCCGGCCAGCAGCTTGGGACAGACCCTCTCAACACAGACACAGGACAGGCAGGATTGCTTCCTGTGGAAAATCAAGGAGATGATACCCCATCGCGTCCCGTGTCCCCAGGCTCTCACTGTTCCTCAGTTTCCCAAGAGTCCCTAAGCTCCTCCGATGCAGAAATTCCCCAGACAGAGGCGGGCGAGCCAGGCACAGCCGCGACCCTCGGTGGGAGGAAGGCATTGCCCAAGTCCAAACCCACGGTGGGGGCGGCAGCGGCGGCAGCAGCTCCGGTGGGGGAGGATGCGAATGTGAGTGCAGAGCAGGGGGAGGAGGGAGAGGAAAGCGCCTCCACATCTGCGCAGGCTGGGAGTTCAAAACAGCCCGTGCAGAAAGCGAGGCCGGGGAGAGCGGCGGGGGCGGGACGGATCGTGGTGAAAGCGGGGGGTGCGAGTGCGGCAGTGGTACGCTCGGAGCGCCCGGGGACCCGTTCAGGGTCGATAATCCGTGAAGCCGCAGAAGCGGCCGCCCAAAGGGCGCGATTACTTGGCTCCATGACCACAGCAGCCAGGGCTGCTGAGGAAGCGGCAGAGGGACAGCGGGAGGCGTTCCTCGCTGCAGCTCAGGCGGCGGGCACGTGTGTGAAGGTCGAGCAAAACCCGACAGCCACGGGTGGAGGGGATTTCTCACATTTCGAACACGCGGGACAGGCACACAGGGGGCGGAGCCGGTGTGTGCAGGCTGTGAGTGCTGGCATGGAGTTAGGAGATGGGCAAAGCGAGACGGACACATCAGGGACGGAGTGGGAACAGGAGAGCGTTTACATCAGCCTTGGGGGGGATGGCAGTGGCTCTGATTCGGAGGCGGTGCGGGGCGGAGCGAGGCCAAAGCATAGCCAGGGTCAGAGCAGGGGCATCCACACCCCCATGATGGCGCAGGCAGGGATGGGGCGTGGCCAGGATGTAAACATTCCTCAGGGCACGGTTCCATCATCGTTTCCATGGCAACAGGCAGCCCAAGCCCACGGCTAATCCCTGTCAGCTTCAGACATGACGAAATTTGAACAGTTATTACAACAAGAGTCAGTTTCACCAACTGCAAGGATTGCAAACGTGAATCGGTTATTAGGAGAAATGCTCAAAGGTTTATCGGGAATTAGTGCGGGATTTGCAAATGTAAATCAATTGTCAGAAGAAATGCTCAAATGTTTATCGAAGTGCAGATTGAAGAGCAGAGTGCGGTTCCCACCTCAGCTGGTCAGGCGGCAGCACCATCTAGCGGCGGAACCACAACATTGCAACAGGCGGCACAGAACTTGTCCGGTCAAGGCACTGCGCCACCCAGTGGTGGGACCGTGACATTGCAGGACTTTTTTCCAGTCTCTTGTAAGAAAAACTCCAGGGTGAAAAAAGTCACATCTGCACGGCAGCAGGAACCTCCACTGACACCAGAACAGTGCGGGACTCAGGACACTTCTGCTGAGGTGCAGCAACGGGAGGAAACGATACGCATCACCGCTTCGGAGGGTGTCCCAGCTTGGACAATTCCAAAATCAAGGTCTGCCAAACTTTCAGGGCAGGGAGAGTCAATTTTAATATCAAAGGGGGTTGTTGAATTTCTTTTACGATATTTAAGCACAGCCTTGGAGTCACAGCCAGAACTGTTGGTTCATCTTCCAAAAATTTTCCAAATAATGCAAGGCAGTCATGTGTTCTCCCCCACAGCAGATGCTTCACTTTTCTCCAGAGACTCCCAGCCTTCATCTTCACAGATGCTGCAGACGCCATTGGTATCGGTGAGTGCTGCTACACCAGAACTGCAGCCACAACAGATGACTCCACTCTACAGGCAAGTACCCACTGAATTTACAGCTTTGCAGAGCGCAAAAGTGGACTGGCAGGACATTCGAGCAGAGTTGGAGAAGGAGAAAGGTTTATTGCAGGGCTCAGGAAATATAATGATGCCGGTGAACTATGACGCTTAGGGCCAAAACCCGAGATGGGAACGTGTGGATCGTGGAGCAATCAAAGATTTATCTAAGGCCATTCAGGACAATGGGTTGTCATCACCATATTTCAAGCAGATGTTAAAAAGCATTTTTGGCATGTATGATTTAACACCATATGATCCTAAATATCTTGCAACATCAGTTCTTACAGACACCCAAGCTCTTGTGTGGCAGAAGGTGTGGAGGAGATCCCTGGAGGAGCTGAGAGCCAGATACCAGGGCGGACCGAATGCGAACCTCACCATGGTGCAGCTTGCTGGTGATCCTCCTGAGGACAATCCAACTCAACAGTCAGTGAGGCTCCTGTGTCACGTGCTCAGCGACATCAAAGAGGCAGCACGGAGGGCAATTCTTCAAATTGCTCCAGCGGGGGTCCAGGACACCATCTACACCGAGATCAAACAGGGTCCTTTGGAGCCGTTTTCTTCATTCATGGATTGTCTTTCTCAGGCAGTGGAGCGGCAGGTGAGCGAGGAGGGAGCGAAACCACACCTGATCAAAAGCCTCACGTTCTCCAATGCCAATCCAGAGTGCAGACGGATCATCAGCATGATGCCGCACCAGGCCACCTTGGCAGACATGATCGAGGCGTGCAGCAAGGTGGGGACACCACAACATGTTGCTTCCATCATGGAGAAACACTTGGGGGATCAAATTGAAAAACGTGTTAGGGAAGTTCTTGCAAATTATACAAAGGGCAACTCTAATGCAGAGAGACGGTGCTTTGGGTGTGGGGCACAAGGACATATTAAAAGGAACTGTCCACAACTTGCAAAGCCCAACAAGCCACCAGACCTTTGCCCTTGATGCAGGAGAGGGAAAC